CGCACCGCCGACTCCACTCCCCGCTAGGATATTAAGAATCGTATCGATTTATAACGGGGAGGGGGTATATAGCGAGTATATAGTCGCTACTGACTCCGCTAAAAAGACTCGAGAGATCTCTTTCCTCCTTTCTCGCCCCGTCTCGGAATACGACCATTCTTGTTCGAAATCTAAACCGTCTCCTTGCCTTTACGCTTCCAAATTAACACGGAGGATTATTTATCTTCTCGCATGCAACGAAAATCTAAATCCAATTCCACCAATTTCATCCAATTTCAAATTCGATCAATTTTGAATCGTTCGAAATTACGGATCTCCTCGATATTTTTACGAAACGAGATTTTTTTCAATCTAGAAAAAGAAGAAGAGGAGGAGGAGGAGGAGTGAAAAGCAACAAAAGCGCAAAGTAGTAGACAAATACACGGGGTGTAACGTACCGTGGTTTTATTTTTTCTTCTAGACAGTTCTAGAAAGATAACGAGCGAATATAAAACCGAGGTTAAATAAACGAAGCTACGTTATTTTATTCCAAGCTATATATTTTAAGAAAGAAAACGGTTTCATTTGACGGTTTCCTTTGTGAAGTGAACTCTTCGGAAGGTATTCTTACAGAAATGAAATAGAACCAATGAAATGGAATAAATACTTTCCCCGCCCGTTACGACCTTATTCGTTCGGATATAGTTACTTTATCTTACTTATCTCGTATAATCGTAAAAATGGAGGTAGTATTCCCTCGACAAATATTTATCTTATTATGATAATTCTTCCAGAAGGAGACTTATCGATCCCTCGATTCTTTGATTCTTTAATTTATTCCTTTCGAAATTTAATCAATTAACGCTTACGCTTATGTAAAACTATGCGATGTTTATAAAAACCAAAAGAGAGAGAGGGAGAAGCGAAAGTCGCGATTATCACGTGATTGGACGTGGCAGGAGGGGAAAAAACGTCTCGAGTCGACAGGTTAATCCAAAGATATTCGGTCATTTGCGAGCTGACGAGCTCGTTCGATCGCTGCTCACGTACACCGAGTAATTTGTTCCGATTAAACCAACCAGCAGAAACGACCGCAGGAGGAGAGTCCGTTCGGTTTAGTTGCAACTGCACTTTCCAAGGAGAGGAGACTAGAGAAGCGTCTCTGGATATCGATCGCTCGGATACGCGAAAAGATAGAAATCCCTTCTTTTTCCTTTTCTCTTTTTTCTCCTTCTAATCGGTCAACGCGCCAAATCTCGATAATCGAAGCGCGCGAAACAAACGATTCGGAGGGAAGGAAATTCTTAGGGAAAGATCGCAGAGAGATAGAAACAACCTTGTTTCGCGATTAATCAGAATCAGGTTTAGTGGCGCGTCGATTCGATCTCCAGCATTTTCGAAACGAGATTCACGGGATTCGGGAACGAATCTCGAATCGATTGGCGGGGATTTCGTTCTCGAAATTGAAATATGCGAATAATTGTTGAAAAAGAGAAAAGCGTTTAAAAATCGCATCTCGAGTCGAAAGGAGAAAGGAAGAGGTGGGAAAAAATGGGGGAGGGGAACGAAGTGGAAATGAAAGGAAGAGGAGAGGAGACGAGTTAAATTTTACGGGAGGGATGGTTGGTGGTCGGAGGCTTTCTCGCGGCGATAAGAGGTCGAAACGTGATATAAATTCGCGAGGGGTTTAAGCCACGATCGGTCTAACGAGCGTACACAGCTCCCGAACTCAGGGTCACAAGTTTACCGAATGGCGAAACCGCACGGTAATTTTCTCGAGTAATCGTCGCCTCTTCTCCGCGCCACGCTTCGCCCTTCCCTTCATCCTCTCCATCCCCCGATTTTCTACTTCTCCTTCTCCTCTCCGTCCGCTTCCCTTCCCAAACCGATCGAAAAATAGAACTCCAACGTCCGAGTGGACGAAAATGACGTCTTCTCGATGCAACGATATCCGTCCATCTTTCGAAAAATTTACCCCCCTCTTCCTCCTTACAACGGCTTAGCCCCCGTTAAATCTTTACCTCCCGAAAGAAAAGAAAGAAAGGGGGAAAAAAGGAAGGTAATATTATAAATATCACGGCGCTGTTTCACGGGTTAATTTAAGGATCGCGGTTATATCGCGAAAGCTACTCCAACTCCATCGCGAGGCTGCAACGTTTCGTACATTCTCTCGCGTTATATCCATTTTCACGACACATATATTCGTTTATCATCATCGTTATCATTCATTTTTATTATCCTCCTTTGCTCTCCGATATCCTTCGAACTTACACCGCGAAAAGTAAATATATAACATCCCCGCTGGGGGATTACGCGTCACGACTTTAATAAACGTTATCTCGTCTCGTATTTGTTTTCTCTTGCGATGTAAAGTTGTACCTTTTTCGACGATTCATCTTTCAACGACCGATGCGATCTCTCCTGCGCCACCGACCTGCTGCTCGCCTATATTTTCTAATTCAACGAGTATCGAAAATATTTGCGTTACTTAAAAGAAAAAAACTCGAATTATTTTTTTCCAATACCATTATTATTATCGACATCTAATAACAAAGTTATTAAGATATATATATATATAAATATCGTGCAACATCTTCTCGAAAAGATTAAAACTTTTTCTAACGTTACAAGTAATTTCGAGGATATCTAAAAGTGGTTATAAGTACACAGCTGCGTTTTTCGCCAAGGACAAAGTATAAAACTCCTATTTTTGAAACAGTCGTTTGTCAGTGTTTCGATTGTACGCGGTATTTCTCTCGAAGACAGATATCTGGTTGAAACTTGTCACCGACGACCAACTTTGTCCCCAAACTTTTCCACTTAAAATTGCTCGATAACGATTCGAAGTGGAACACATCGTTCCACTCGTCGCGAGAGATTTTACTTATTCGTAATTTAGGCTTCTCGAACGATTCGAAAACGCTCGCCCTCGAATTACGCATCTCGGATATTTCCGTTCCACGTCCGATATAATTTGCCGGGCGGAGCGCAACAACGCCATTTTCTCGGAAATAGATCGAACATCTCTCGTTCGATGTTAATAACGATTGCATTGGATAAATTTGAAGAAGAAGAAGAAGGGTCAAACGTGATCAAGAGAAATAGAAAATTTATGAAATTGTTTAGGAGAAGGTACGAAAGCAGAGACGATCGAGCGGACGAAAGAATTTTTAATTTTCGAAGAAACGTGACTTTTAACGACGAAATTCGGTTTATGGAAAAAGGTACAAGATTCGGGGAGAGCACTGATCAACGCGTAACAACGCCGATTAAATAGTTTCTCTCATTTCGACGCTAATGAGTAATCTTTAGTTTTACTAGGAATAGCGGTGGTTACGTAACACGAGGAATTCTACCAATAGACGGGCCTGAATTAAATTCTCGTCGTGCAACTATTTCCAATGGATCGTTGCGGTTAACCGGATGAGATCGAGTCCAAATTATCTTTCGAACGCGTTCATTCGCTTATGCGTAAATCTGAATTATTTATTTCATTCCTAACGTATCCAATTGATAACTCTCGTAAATACCCCATAATTAATAATAATCGAGCCCACAGGAATTTATTAATCCCTCTTTCTTTCTTTTTCGAAGAAGATAGATAAAGATGTCGCGTTTCCATCGTACGTTCGCGCAGAGATTTCGTCGCGTCCAAAAAGCGTCCCTTCCTACTTATTACTGCTCTTTGCGAGCCGAGTAATAATTAAATACGCGAAATCATCACCTTTGATCGCTTCGAAGAAGGGAAATGAGATTGCGAGAACGTTTTTAAATTCGCTTGAACGGTTGATTAATTCAACCGTTGAAGAAACACGATAAAGACAGGCATCGGAGGAGGAAGGAAGGAAGGGGAGGGGAGGGAAAATACAGCGGTTACACAGAGACGAAAGTAGGAAGAGGGATTGAAAAATACGTCCGAAACGAAAATTGAAGCGGTGGATCGGCTTTGAATTCAAACGCGACGCGAAGGAACAAAGGTTATCTCGGTGATACGACGGTTGTTCCGAGTTTCCAAGGAATTGGCCCCGATTCACGGAAAGTCTTATTTCCTGCGGCGAGTTACCCACGGCGAGGTAGTTTGGTCGCAGATGTTGGTCGAAATGAAAAATTTTACCGATCGGATTAGCCAGAGCGACACCGATCCTAAACGTTTCGTTAATAATTGTCGCGGTGATAGCGGTTGTTTAAAAAGAGAAAAGTTTTTAAACGTACGAGTCGATTACGCGAGTCGAGTACGAGAAAAAGAAAGAAAAAGCAGTTTCGACCAAAGCGAGAAGAAGAAGAGAGAACGTTTAACCTATCGATCACGTTATGACGTATCGATCGACGGTGATGATCGCTCGATTTATCGTTAACGTTTGAACGAATAACGTAAAACGTAAGCGTCATTTTATATATAGATTTTTATTCGAAAAATCGTTAGATATTTTTATCGAGATATCGCGTAACTCGATCTTCCGGAATATTCGGTTTCGCATTGTTCCCCGCCCGCCGGTGTTTAACTTTGTTATACCACGATATATCAACTCGGTTGAACTACCATCCCCCCGAGATGGTAAGGGAAAGTTACACGCCAACGTTTAATAGTTTAATATGTCTTGCTCGACGAGAGATACGAGACATCGCGTACGAGCGTTAAATCCGTAAACGGATGACCAGAAAAAAGGGGGGAAAAAGGGGGAGGGGGAGAGAGAAGAAAAAGAGAGAGAGAGAGAGAGAGAGAGAGAGAGAAAGGAATTATTCGTAGGATAACGAGGTAGGTATAATACGAGGGGATACGAGGTGGGCTCCTCCTTGGACGAGAAATAAGGATGGCACGTGGGTACCTGACATTCGGTCTGTCTGTCTGTCTGTCTGTCTGTCTGGAGTCGAGGACCCAGACCAACGAGCAATATAGATGGGATAATTGCAGATAATTTGCGGCGTCGATTGCTACGCGTTCTCCACTCGAGCCACCCTTCTCTCTCTCTCCCTCTCCCTCTCCCTCTCTCTCGTCACCCACGTCCGTCCCCTCGTTCTCCAATTATCGTTCCCCTTGCTTCCTACCCCGTCTTTTCCCCACTCGAGTTTGCCTCATTTTGCCTCGTCGAGAAGGAACAACTTTTTGCTCCCCGACTCTGAAACCTGGCTTGGCGATCGCGCCAATCATTTACATGCAGCTATAACTTATAATCCACCGGACTCGGACCGCCCTTGTTTTTTCACCGTGTCAACCCATTTTTTCCAACCCCTTCGGATAATTTTTACCATTCTTCCACCGTACGAGTCCAATTTCCCCCCTTTGCCTCTTTCTTCTCTCCGAGTATCGAAATGTTCGAAAAATTACGTCGATTAACTTTACGTTCAACTTCAACCCTCGCGTGAAAAATAGAAAATACAGGAAGATAATAAGAAATCCGTATAATCCATCCATCTTATCTACGTAAGATTATAGGGCGACGCGTATCGCGTATCAAGGTAAGAGAAAAAGAGTAATTTTCATGCATGGAGGTGGCGTGTAGCCTGGATCGATAGCGAGCGATGTACTCGAGGTAAGTAACTGACGAGAAAGAGAGAGAGAGAGAGAGAGACAGAGAGAGAGCC